TCTTTACAATATTTCAGTAGCATTTGTATTAAGTCTCTTGAGCTACCATAAACTGCACTGGGAGTTACCAGGTGGTCATGGATATTTTAAATTGAAATCACAACAGAACGGCCAGACTCAAATTTATATCGATAAGGAGACCAGATAACAGTAGAATAGTTTGTCAATAAGAATAATGTTCAATACTTACGATAAATGTACCGGGATGGTTAAATTGTCGTAGTTTGTCCCGATTGCGTGCCTTGTTGACATCTCCATGTGTTTCATGTGCTATCCAGCCTTCACCTTCTGCTCTCCAAGCCTCGCTTTCTAACCGGAAGTAGCGAAGTGTGAAAAAGGTCATTAGCCAGCTTGCTCCTCATAAATTTACCTTCAAACTCTGCCAAAGCTATAATATTTTTAATCAATAGTTTTGTTATACATTTCCCAACTACATTTAAAAGGCAAATTCCCGTGAAACTATTGGGGTCTCATATATTACTACTCTTCTGCAGAACAATGTTTTATCGTGAAAAACATCTTTGCGATTTATAGCGTACCTATCTTGTATTTAGACATAATGTCTAGTATTGCATTGAGTAACAGATTTATACCATTCGTTTCATCATCTTCAGCATAATGGCGCGGTCCTCCTGGGAACACGTATATATATATTACGGCAAAGACAAAAGTAAATCTCGGCCAATTAAAGGGAATTTTTCTGTCTAATATAAAATATAACATAGCTGCGCGATAAATCGCAAAGAATAACGAAGAACAAAGTGTGGTTTATTTCACGATAAAAACATTGTTCTATTATGACGTCATTTCTGGAGATTCGAACATGCGCTCGCAACTAAATGACGTCGTATGTCGGACGACGTTATTTTTTAGGAGGGAGTGTCTTGTGAGTTGTTCCCGTTAGATGTAGCTGGGCAACACAGATAAACGCGATGGCCGAATTATCGTATCCAAAAGAGGGAGAGACATGGCAATTTGTATTGGGAGAAAAGGTACAGGTAATTGACGTGAGGATTGTGAGAATATGCGGGAAATACCCGCCTGTGCATAAAATGGACTTGTCCGACATTGCTGAGGTCGGATTCTATTGAGTGAGTTATCATTTTTAAAATACGGGTAAATATTTTTAAAGCTTGTACATTTTAGAAACATCCTTGAAAGAGGATAACTTTATGTTGATAACTTATATAAAAAATAAACGACTCATGGTCGTTGTTTATCGTACAATATCGTCGTTGTTTACTGTATATACAGCTGTCAGCTTCCTTGGCAACTTTCGCGATTTTCTTATGTCTACACATATCCCTCCTGGATTTTTACCAAATGTACTTTTTTCATGTGACACAATGAGCAGCAAAAATTACCCTAAAAAATATTCGAAAATCGTTTACCTTCTTTAGCCACATTTCTGTTAGACAGATGATATATTGAGAGAGATCTGTATTCTGGTCATGTTCCAAAGACAACATTCTGCGCATTCAGTATACAGTCCATGACATTACACTGATGGCAGGACCGGGGCCATCTCCCTTTTCTGTCTGTTGTTTTCCAATTTCCACAATGGTGTCAGCTTCAATGTCATATGTGGATCTCTTCTCTCCAACAAGTGATTTATCAAATCGTATTGACATTCTGGTGTTCGGGTCCTTTTCTCAAGTCTCTTTCATAAAAGGCATCAATGTACGTCTTGTGTTAGGAATTCTCACCCTGAAATCTCCAGATACCCGTTTATCATCGTTTACTTTGTTGATACGGTCCCCGCGGGATTTTCCAACTCGCGGATTGGTCGTTTTGGCTCGGATTTTTTCCGGCCTACTCGATAAGCTCGCTGGATCGGGATGTACTCGAGTACTTTGACTATTTATTAATATGTATCTGTTACGAAATGATTTCAAAATTGTCACCGAAAGATTTACCCAGAAATCGGTTCGTGCAGACTAAATTGTGAAATTAAAAAAGACCACACAAAATCACTAAACACATTGTATTGAAACTAAAGTTTTAGTTACAATGACAATAGGCAATACAATGGGTCAAATAAGTGGTAGCAGAAATATGTAACAATTTCTAAAAAAAATATGTTCGTGAATAATGTCTAGATTTAAGTCACTGTCAAATGTCTTGAAACAGGCCTGCCTCTATTTCTAATAATAATAGTACATCTGTTATGCGCTTAACTCAATACTATTGGTGAATGCTCACAGCGCTACATAAAATAGTGGGAAACTCTGCTGACACACATCTTCCCGAGGCAAGAGAGTAAACTGACTATAAATGTCCAGTATCCATCCTTGTCGACCTCGGCTGGTATTATGGAGTTACATTTTGGCTGGACGAGCGAGCCTATGCATAGTCCAATCAAAATCGCGCAACGAAATCGTTGTGCATGGCGTTGTGCATGTGCACCGCCAACTCGTTGCCAACAGATATTTTCCAAATCTTTTCATGTTTTTAATCATAGTCCTCACGTGATTTGATGCACTTAGCGATGTAAGACCCGTTGTATCACAGTATGGATCTTGATTATCGATCAGATCGTCCTGACTCGGCGCCGCCATTTTGTTTGAAACAAATGCAAGTGATACGAGAGGTGGGATCTCATTGGTCCATAGGTCGGCAAGGTTCGAAACTGGACTTTTAAAGTCAGTTAACTCTCTTGCGTCGGGAAGATGGCTGAGACATGGACTGCAGCATTGTCATAGAACTGGAGCAGTGTTGGCAAATGACCTCTGCCCAGATCTTGTCAGTTAAGTTTTAGGTATACAAAGGAGCTGTTTCTCAGCAGAACGGAGGGATCTAGATGGTTGATATGCCTGCATGAGGTCAGATAAGTAGGAAGGCGCTGACTGGTTGTAGCAATGGTGCGTTAGAATTCGGGCTTCTACTTGGAGCCAGTGCAGATTGAAAAGCACAGGTGTTATATGCGCTGAACTTTTGGTTCTTGAGACAATCCTTGATGCCATGGAAGTGTCGCAATCTGGCAAGAATACGTTGTTTTCAGATAGGTATCCCACATGGGTATAGCGGACGCAAGTGTGGTCGAAAGTAGCCTTTAATCGCTCTCGTTTCCTTCTTTTAGACACTGTCACATCCCGAAACTTCTCGAACGATTAAGCTTGACATGTTCAATGTTTACTAAAGGCGGATAACTCTAACTTACTCGCTGCCGCCGAGTACCGCTCAAATCTGACCACGCCAGCTCTCGACATTTTACTAACGCTTTAATCATTCCCTGTCAGAGACAATCACTACAAATAATTCTACAACAACCTCTGCTGCCACATAACAGACACACAATTGTAACAAACAAGCATATCGTATGCTGCCTACTTCTATATCTACACCACTGCAACCTGTATTACAGTCTATGCATGCCTGGCGCTTGTGTAAGTATCAGAATCGGTTGGGGACTTTGATGATAGCGTGTCAACGTGACTCGATCGGCGATTGACAAAGCCGACGCCATGTTTGTTTGTAAACACTGAAAGTTATCAATGCTTGACCTTTGATATTTGCATCTCTATCCGCATATAACCCAGACGGATATCGTTTTTATCCGTTGGCTTTATCCTGCTGAGAAACCTACGCATTACTTGATGTATGTACATACCATGCGGTGTTACATCTTCTTGATGATAGTATTATTAAGACTGACGGATAGTTTACAGTGAAATACAATTTTATCAGAAACATAATTTATTAAAGAGGTTTTGGACATATATGACAAACATTAGAAGGTGGAACATCATTGAAGTGTTGTTCAGACTGTATGTCAGCTATTTAAATATTTGTTTTAATTGTTTGTTTGTTTGTTGTTTAATGCCGCACATAGCAGTATTCCAGCTATATTACGGCGGTCTGTAAATATTGAGTCTAGACCAGACAATCCAGTGACATATGATTGACATCATGAGTATCGATTTGTGCGTTTGGGATACGATGACATGCATCAACAAAGTCAGCGAGCCTGAACACCCGATCTCGTTATTCCCTTTTTACGACAAGCGTGGGTTGCTGGATCCTCACAGATATGAAAGATATGTAATGTATATGGTTATTAAATGCTACCCAACCTTAACGTTATCTACAAAACTGAATTGCTGTCAATTGTTTAAATGTCAATTGCAAATATGCTCATTCATAAGCTTATGACATCTGCATCCTCGATGATCCGGGGTATCCAGTCTGTTGAAAGTAAAGACTTCTACAGCTAAATACTGATGTTTTACGAATGCTTCATTGGTAATTCGTTACGGTATATTGATAATAACGATTTGACTTTTGTCGTTTCTGAGAAATAAATGGCACATATTTAAGAAGGGGGTCACCACTGGAAAGGGTACTAGTTTGAGGAGGAGCCCCAAAGCTAATGACATATGTTTGAGGAGGATCATCAAACTGAATGATCTATGTTTGAATAGGGTCCCCAACCAATTGATCTATGTTTGAGGAGGATCACCAAACTAAATGACATATGTTTGAGGAGGATCACCAAACTGAATGATCTACGTTTGAATAGGGTTCCCAACCAATTGATCTATGATTGAAAAGGATCGCCAAACCAATTGGTATGTGTTTGAAAATGATCACCAAACCAATTGATATATGTTTGAGGAGGATCACCAAACTAAATGATCTATGTTTGAATAGGGTCCCCAACCAATTGATCTATGATTGAAAAGGATCACCAAACCAATTGGTATGTGTTTGAAAATGATCACCAAACCAATTGATATATGTTTGAGGAGGATCACCAATTATTAATTAACTCGCCCCTTACACTGGTCATATTTTTGTATAACACCCCCCCCACCCCCACCCCCCCACCCCACCCACCCCGCCCACACACACACACACACACATGTCCTTGTACATATTTTTATGACCCTCCCCAAAAAGACAACAAGCAAACGCATTTTAAATATTATTATAAAATGTCCTATCTTCTATTACCCTCTCCTAGAGACTGTGATATTTGTTGGTGACCCTACCCTGATTCCCTTTGGTCCACCACACCCTAGAATACATGACAAGTCCCTTATGATCCCACTGATCTTGAATATCAAAATCAGAAACATTAATCATGATATTCACAGTTGAAATATATTTTGATTTATATGTTGATTTTATTTTGTTGATATTACAATGATGAATACATTCACGAACTGGCGAACAATGATGTATACATTCATGAAGCGACGAACTTCTTTACAAACACGCCACTCGCGTCATCTCGACTCACGTCGTTACTGTCAAATACCTGTGACCCCATGGCGACATAGACTCCAGGCTTGGTGAGGCACCGGAGGCAACCTACAGCAAAACCAACGTTGAATTCCGCATCCGAGCCTTTAAAGGTATGTGGCAAGAAGGCCCCCGTTAGGACAATGACCTTTTCCAGTCGGTGAGAGCCGATGAACTGAGCTGATTCTATTAGCGTGTCTGTTCCATGTGTGATCAGGATCCGTCTGATGGGAGAGTCACTGCACACTTGCAACATGGACTCTCTGAAATATTGATCCGTTGATAATAGTTATAAGATCCGGTGTTGTATGACATTCTTCAATGCGGCGTTAGTGATTTACATCAAAGCTTCATTTGTCACGTGGCTGACTGAGGCCATGGAAATGCTCTGGGGATTATGAACATGAGCTTTAAGTATTTCTTTTGTTGAAGTGAGATTTCCCGTCTCAGTCGTGACAAGTACTCATTAAATACAGCATAAATTGAGTCTCAAGTAACCTGTGAAGATCCGGGTTAGAATAGGTCTTCAGCAACCCCTGCTGAAGTTTGTTAATTTGTTTGTTTGTTGTTTAACGCCGCACTAATATTCCAGCTATATGACGGCGGTCATAATCGAGTCTGGACCAGATAATCCAGTGATTGACATCATGAGCATCGATCTACATGATTGGGATACGATGACATGCATCAACCAAGTCAGCGAGCCTGACCACCCGATCCCGTTAGTCGCCTCTGACGACAAGCGTGTCGTCTTTTACGGCAAGCATGGGTTGCTGATTGCTGAACCTTCCGTGCATATGGAGCTGAGATGAGATGAGATGAGGTGAGGTGAAATTGGATTTAACGTCGTGTTCAAGATAATTCCACTTACGTAGCGACGTTCGTGTGTGTGGATGCTTGTACTAGTCTCTTAGATATTCTGCCGCAGTTTAATACTTGTACTCCACTTAGACATTGCTTTATCCCCTTAACGCCAGGCAGAGTAACAACAAGTGTCATCTTTTGGTTTGACCAAATAAGGGATCGAACCACCGAACTTCCGCTCTCCGGACAGACGCTCTATCCACTAAACCGAGGAGGCGGTTGCACGTATGTGCAGAATTACGTCCTGTAGTAGTAACGGAATCATATCATCGCGAGTTCGAAACCCCAGATTGTCCCAGTCTATGATCCTTGATTTGTCAACACTATACTGTTTCGAGTGGGTTTCACTGAACGTCCAGGACCAGCATTAGTTCCGGGATTCGATCCCCGGCCGCTTCATGCCAAAAGAAGATGGTATTTGTTGTTACCCTGCCTGGCGCTCGGCGACTCGGAGTCAGTATGCTGTGTCTGAGTGGGGTATTCATGTTAAACTGTGGTAAGATATCTCAATGGGCTAGCACTATAAAATCGGCATTAGTCCGGACTACTACAAGTAGCCAGTCACACATGCACGCATGGACGCACCCACGCTGGCACACACACACACACACACACACACACACACACACACACACACACGTGCATGCACGTCGCTATAGGAGTGCAATAATGTTGGACGCGACGTTAACCCCGTTTCACCTCAGGACCGCCTCCGTGGTCTAATGGTAGAGAGTCCGCCCGGAGAGCGGAAGGTCCGGGGTTCGATCCCCAGCCGCGTCTTACCTAAAGACGTTAAAAGATGGTACTTGTTGTTAACCTGTCTGGCGCTCGGCATTAAGGGGATAAAACAAGGACTGGTCGGCTCGGGGCCAGTATACTGTGTCTGAGTGGGGTATTCATGTTACACTGCGGCATGGTATCTCAGTGTGCTAGCACTATAAATCGGCATCAGTCCGGACTAGTACAAGCAGCCACATACACACACACACACACATACACGTCGCAATATAAGTGCAATAATCTTGGACGCGACGTTAAACCCCATTTCACCTTACCTCACCGTTTCACCTCACCTCTCCTCGCCCTACACTAAGCTGACACGACGTGGTATAACTGAGTACTGCGTTAAACCCAACTCACTTACTCCACCCCTCCTCACCTGTCCTCCTGTGTGATGTCCTGACTGTCCTTCCTGCACACGGTCCTGAAGGTCCAGGAGGACCTGGGAGTGAGTGTCCTCGCCATCTTCTCTACAGCGGAGTCCCCGATCTCAAACGCGTAGCCTCCCTTACGTTTGGGGTAATCCTTGTCTATTGTTCCTTAAGACGAATCATGCATGTTAAAATTGCAATTGTCTACATTGCAGATTACATGTCTCTCTAAAATGGAACTAATTCAAATATAAGTACGCCGTGATATTATGCGCAACTGTACATTGCGGCATTAAACCCAACCTATACATATATAAACCAGGAATCTCAAATAATTACTATTGGTTTTCCTTGAATATGGTATATGGGATTAAGGTTAACAGAGCACATAAGCATGTCCATGCAATGGCGATCGAAACTTATAATATACAATAATTGGCGGTAAGAGCATTACATATTACTTAAATATCTTAATAATGATTTTACAGAAGTTTGCAAGTTTCCTAAGGACAATTTTACATTTTACATTGAAACATATACATCATTTGACGGACAGGGAAAGTTGAGGTGTAATCATTTATCCGATTATGGCTACACTATAGTCACATATAAACAAGTAATGACATTCGTCCCCTAAATCTCAATTATTACAAAGTTTACATGTTCTTTCAGCAACAGGTGATGTGTGTGAGTAAAGTCTGATTTACATTGCTTTGCACAATATTTGAGTGAGTGAGTATGGTTTTACGCCGCTTTTAGCAAAATTCCAGCAACATCACGGCGGGGGACACCAGAAATGGGCTTCACACACTGTACCCATTATGGGAATCAATCCAGGGTCTTCGGCGAGGCGAGCACACGCTTTAACCACTACTCTTTCCACCTAGAACTATAACCTGGGCGAATCTGAAATCAAACAGGGTATGGTGCGGACAACCCTAGAAACATGATAGGGGCGAACCGGGATTCGAACCCACAATAATAGATTTTTGGCGTGCCCAAGGGACGCAACTCTGCACAGCGAATCGCGGCGCCTTATACGACTGGGCCACCCGTGCCCCTTTGCGTGAAATAAGGAAATCAACTGATTGGTATTTATCATACAATTTGAGACAGCAGATAAACAACGTTTTGTTTTAAATGGTCGTACTCAAACTTGCTAGGACTGTAAGAATTTATTTTTGTGTCAGACAATTGCATTTTTTTCAACAGTCTAAAGCACATATTTTTTCAAGCATTTTCTGCACAATTTATTTCTTCGATAAAATCTTTCTCCTCCTCCATCCCTTGAATATCAACCTTATATCACAGCTTTCTTTTTCTCGTCCCAAAGTGCACATTGTTTACGACCTTTACCTAAGCCTTTGGCGACTAGCTTCGCCGCTGTCGATATGACGGTAAAGGCCCTACAGCCAAACATTTAAGTGGAGTGTCCACAATAGCGGCCTGCGTGTGATTAACGATCCTGCATTGCAGCAGCACACATTGCCACACACTGACAGTGATTTTGTTTGTGGTATAGTTATCGCAAGGTCTTTTGGTCACTAGGGAAAACATGTGAAGTAGTACCTCCTGTCTGGATCACAAGCAAGTCGTTATCCGCCATGTTATCAGCTGGTGTGACCCGGCGACGAGATACGCCCCCAGCGTCATGTCAAAGTAGTCATGTGACGTACACTTGGGCGTTCCTCACTAAACCATCACAAGAACATCCACGTAAAGACACGAATGAGGAAAAATGGGGAAAATACGCAGAAACTGAAACTAATGTTTTGATTGTGACAGAGAAAAGGAAACACGTGTTAGAGTAAGAGGTGAAATATATAGAAAAAGGGGTACGTGTTTAGGAAAGAGACACACATGAGTTTGTTTGTTTGTTTGTTTGTATGTTTGTTGTTTAACGTCGCACTCAGCAATATTCCAGCTATATGACGGCGGTCTGTAAATAATCGAGTCTGGGATACGATGGGATACGATGACATGCACCAACCAAGTCAGCGAGCCTGACCACCCGATCCCGATAGTCTCCTCTTACGACAATCATATTCGCCTTTTACGGCAAGCATGGGTTGTTGAAGACCTGTTCTACCCCGGATCTTCACGGGTCTACACACATGAGTAGACAAACACATTTGTGAGAATCGCTGCACACATCAGAAGAAACAGGCACTTCCCTGGGAAAGTGGCAGGTCATTCTATAGTGGCAGGTCATATAGTGTTCCTGACTCCTGGACAAAACATGTTAAAATTAAATTGCATTTTTGAAAACGAAAATCACTTGCGTTTCGATGTTATCTATATATTCACATTTGTATTGTGTACAAGTATATATTTGACTATGTATGGCCGTTGAAAGATGCTTGAGGGCGCCAGTTTGCATGCCCCTTAGTGCATTTTGAATTTTTGCTCCAGCTTTCTTAATAGAAAAATATGTACCTCGGGTTAAAATGGCCACACATCAAAATTGCCACAAACACCTTGGTCATGAAAGGGTACACACACAAAATGGCCACAAACTCCTACTAAAAATGGCCACAGGAAAATGTAAAAATGACTGGTGTCATATTGCTGGAATAAACAACAAACAAACAGAAATGGAGGCATGATTGTACCAACCCTTCCTCTACTAGCGGATACAACTACATTTTATTTTGGACATGTACACTATGTGGGAGACACGAGAGACCGAGCTATTCATCTCGTAAAATCCCGTCGACCTAGCTGTTGACACATGTAATACATAGAGGATTCATCACGAGTGTTTATTAAAAAACACGAGTGATGAATTCTATTTATCATTTTCAAATTTTTGCTTCCAAATTAAGGAATAATTGCATTAAACATTAACATCAGCAACTTGTCGAACTCTTACGTATAGATCGTGCGTAGTGATACATGTTTTCCAAAGCCCTGTAAACCAAAATAAACAATTCGCTGAGACAAAAAGTTCCTCGGATTATTTTAAACAAAATACTTGAACAGACTTTTGCAGAATAATTGAAACTTTAATAACGGTAACAACAACGATTCTGTGTAATCTGATTATATCTCTGGTGTAACTCTACTTATAATATATAGTTTCAAATCAAACCGCTCCCTCTTCCGGTTATCTAATTTGCATATCTAATTTGCATACTTATGTCATTGGGGTATGACATACATGTTTTTATGTCATAAGCTTATGTCATGGATTAAATGCTTAAGTTAAATGATAAAATCATTTATCATATGAGAACACAATCTATTGACGACCACCGATTTTTTAACATGGTAAATAAAAGCGCGAAAAAGGGTCAGATATGACGTTAAAAGCATGCGACGTCACGTCAAACATTATGACGTCATTATGTTCGTACAGGTCGGCTTATATGGCAATTTACAAAACTGCGACTGGCCAATCAGATTGCAAGATTCTAATTGAGTCATGATAAGAGTGTATGCTGTCTCATGTATAAATGGGAAATATGTGGAATATTAAAAACAACAAAAAACACTATTACAACAATGATTTAACGTCTGGGCTGAGTATGAGTGTGTGAACAAAATTGTGCTGACGCAATGAGTTTTATGACCATACCAGCCTGAATTTCTTAGCGGTCCTCACAATGCTGCGTTTGGGTGAATTATCTCCCATTATCCACGGTCGGCTGTCCGAGGATATTGCAACGATGTCGAAGGATTTCAGAAGCAATTTTATTTGAAGCTGTACATTCTGTCCAGTTTCCTTGAATAAACAGCAAAATAACATTCTAATACGAAAATATGTGTACGGTAAGTACCATTTTCTCAGAGTTACTGTAAGATCCTGTAACTATATAGCCAGTCGACAACCAGTGTAACCAGTTCTCAACTCGAGTCAAGGCGTCAGCTGAGCAGCACTCGACTGTATCCTTACTTAACGGCAATGCATACAATGTTGCATTGACTTCCATGGCATGCTAAAATAACTATATGTCCCTGTGCCATTGGAAGTTCCGGCGTAGATCTATATCAAAGTAACCTTGAAACTAAATTTCTATTCACTAGTGTTATTTTTAGAAATTCAACAATAGGGAGTCTAGAAAAATATTTTGATCTTAACATGACACATACATTTAGCCCTTTTGGTTGCTTACGCATACTTCTCTTCCAGGCAACCCGTGAAAACCTGGGGTAGAATAGGTCTTCTGCAAACCATGCTTGTCGTAAGAGGCGACTAACGGGACTGGGTGGTCAGGCTCGCTTACTTGGTTGGTGCATGTCATCGATCCAAATTGCGTGGTTCGATGCTCATGATGTCAATCACTGGATTGTCTTGTCCAGACTCTATTATTTACAGACCGCCGTCATATACCTGGAATATTGCTATGTGCGACGTTAAACAACAAACAAACAAGCCTTGAAAAGTGATCATAAAGACATGTCAAATAGACACTGAGGTAAATTCATAGATTATTTTGACTGTCACTGTCAGTCCGATTGGTATCCTCCCATTAGTTGCACATCCCGTTTGTCACACACCATAAAACAACAGGTCATGGCTGAAGGCACTGACTGGTCTACCCAATGTTACCTAAGTATTAGAATGGAGTGATCCAAGAGAAGTGGAAAACTAGCAAAGGCTCGCTAAATACAATGTTTATTCCTAATACAGGATATTTACAATCCCCAAACACACTCACCTCTATATTTTGTAAATCTTGAAATTAACGTGAGTGTGAATTAAATGCAAAAAGTGGTAGTAGCCTTGTTTGCAATAATGAAATTTTGCATTTATGTCTCCAAAATGACTATCAACAACTAGATTGTTATGGTTTACAGTCACTGAACAGTTAGCCTCCGATACACATTGAAATCACGTGCACCGTAAAATTCAATCCGCGAAGTAAATGACATTGTTTTTGTATTTGAACTGCACACCCAACAATCCATGAACAGTTCTCCAGACCAATAATTTAGAATTAGAGAATAATTCATTGAAATCAGTTTACATCATATCTTTCCTCACTTACTTACTTATATTAGGGGATTTTACGTGCGCTTTCCGACTGGAGCGTATTTCGCACACGGGCCCGGCCGGGCCATTTAGTGATATAAAAGGGGAAGCGAGAAGAGTGCAACCAAGGAGGGGGGTTTAGTGGTTGCTTATATAAAGTTTTGAAATTTTTCCTCACACTTCTGTCTAAGGTTTTATACCATGAGATGTAACTCATGAATTATTTTGTTGACGCAACAAAAGATTCCTGTTAAGTTTTCTTTGCAATCAAATAATTGTCATTTGTATGTGTGGTTTTAGGCATCTAATAAATCAGGAGGGGGCATTGTAGTAATCTTGTGCATTAACTGAAAGACGACTTCAATTATGGTATCTCATGTTATATAGGTCTGTGATGTATCTTTACACACCCATTAATCTCCATGCCAGGCTATAGACACTGAGCCTCCTCAGTGCTGAGGTCAATGTTATCTTTCCTCACAGATATGTTATTAGCAGAGACTAATCTGACAGTAATGTCTCATTATCTAGGCTGTACATGTTGGTTACAGCCTAGTCTCTAGTGGCTGTGATATCAGAGACTTCATGGAGGTTACTAGGGATTTAAGGCTTAATTAAGGCCAGTATTCAGGTGATACAATTTTTTGAGTAATGAATCGGATTTCCCTGAGCCAAAAGCCACAAAAACAATTTTATCATTAAGTAATATAATGTAAATTTATCTCTAGTGATCAGACTGCTCTATATCTGATTAATTAGTTATAGAAGAAGGATGAAACTGCAAAAAATAAAAAAAACTGACTTTAAATTCAATTTTCCACCCTTGCCGAACCAGGCTGCAATTATGGAGTTTTGCCTGGACTAACAAGCCTATGCATAGTCCACTCAAAATCACGTAACGAAATTGCCATCCCGTTTGAAAACTGCCGTGCAGATTTTGGTCGACTGCAGGGTTTGCAAAGCATGTGTACCGATAAACATAGCGTCAACCAATATTTTCCAAATCTTTTCATGTTTTTAATCAAGGTGCACACATGATTTGATGCACTTCGCGAAGTAAGGCCCGTTTTATTACAATATATATCTTGGTTATGGATCAGATCGTTTTCACTGGACATTTTATTTGAAGCAAATACAAGTGATATGAGATAAGTGGAATCTGATTGGCCAATAGGAGGGACATAGAAAGTAAATAACCCACAATAGCCACTGGTGGTGCTACGATCGAGCCTAGAAATTCCAGCCTAGTTTGGCAAAGGGTGGAAACTGGACTTTTATAGTCAGTAAACTCCCTTGCCTCGGGAAGATGGGAAGTGAGGATCTGTGGCACATTTTGTTTGTTTGTTTGTTTATTTGTTTGTTTAATGCTGCACTCAGCAATATTCCAACTATATGATGGCAGTCTGTAAATAATCGACTCTGGGCCAGACAATCCAGTGATTGACACCATGAGCATCGATCCACACAATTGGGATCGATGACATGCATCAACCAAGTCAGCGAGTCTGACCACCTGATTCCGTTAGTCACCTCTAGACTAGGCTAAGATGCTAAACTAATTTGAGGATAATTGTTTGGAACAGGCCATGGACAACGCATATTGTCAACTTGTCATATTGTCAAGGGCTTTGTGACAAAGCGAAGAGACGAAGACTTTCTTTTTTGTTTATTTACAGATAGAAAGGTTTTACTATTTGGTTTGAAAGATTACGATGAACTATCAATATTCCTTGTGTTGGTTTTGGAATGGTTATAAATTGGATTTTATGCACTTCTGGTGCGGTTATTTGGCCTTGCAAATCTTTGTGCACAGTTGTTAATAAAGTAACTAAGAATATAGCAACCTGTTCCTTATAAGAGAGGCCGTCTCCGTGGTCAAGTGGCAGAGCATCTGCCCAGAGAGCGGACAGTCCGGGGTTTGATCCCCGGCCTGCTATAAATAAGATTAAAAGATGGTACATGTCATTATGCTTGTGGTTACTCTGCCTGCAAAACGTAAAGAAAAAGGAATGCATTTATTGAGACTTAATTTTGTATTTAACTAAAAAGTAAATTACGAAAGAACCAAAACCCGAAAAGATGATTATTTGAAACACTGTCTTCTCTCTGCATGAGGGGCGGAGGGGTAGCCTCGTGGTTAAAGGGTTCGCTCGTCACGCTGAAGGCCCTAGTTCAATTCCCTACAAGGGTACAATGTGTGAAGCCCATTTCTGGGGTCCCCTGCCGTGATATTGCTGGCATATTGCTAAAAGTGGCGTAAAACCATATAAACCCACTCACTCACTCACTCTCCCTGCATGTAGTCGGTCATACAGACCCTGAAACAAATATATCCAGAACAGCCCATACAAGTCTATAATGTTTGGCAAGTCTAGATTACTGCAGTATCTGAAAATGAAGAAAGTCTCTGGGCTCCTTTTTATTATATTTTATAACTATAATTTTAACAACTGTTTTTTCTGTAAAATATGTTCATTTTAGAGACTAGATTTTAGTCTACACTGCATGCTGAACATACTACAACTACCAGTACATGGTAACACAATACACAAATCACTGTTTCATGACATTAAAAAAGGGTATTGGTTTTGTTTTCTGCTGGTCACATGACACCTGATGAGGAGAGTTATTCAAGTAGAAATCCTGGCTAACGGGATGTATCACTTGGTCCCCCAATCACCTTGTAGGCAGTTTGAGTCTTTAGCTAAACCGGGAGTACCGGTGTACATTCGGGTGACAAATAGCTGGTGACTTGCACTGATCAGCTTATGGACAAGATGTGAAATAGGATGGGAGATATATGTGACCAGGAAACAATGGTAAGAAAATTGCAATACATATCTTTCTTGTAAGACTAGTTGCGCAACTGATCCAATGTCCAAGAGCTGTCTCATGATATGGCATGTTGCTACTGATGGAAAGTTTGTAACACTGATGTGTCTAAGGTGGAGGAGCATGTGTGCTGTCTACCTGGTTTCCAATGGACTAGAGGTTTCAAACCATCTCTAATGTTTTACAGCCTACTTGCCTCAAATATTCAGTTTCCTCAGGTTTTATATATTTGATAAAACTCATTTTCCGTGGTACCTTAAATGTCATATGCATGATAGAATTCCGTGTACAGATGTACGTATATATTGTTTTAGTTGACGTTTGTTACCCATGAAGATCCAGGTTAGAATAGGTCTTCAGCAAACCATGCATGCCGTAAAAGGTGACTAGCGGGATCGGGAGGTCAGGCTTGCTGTCTTGGTTGATGCATGTCATCGCATCCCAATTGTGTTGATCAATGCTCATGATGTGAATCACTGGATTGTCTGGCCCCGGCTTGATTGTTACAGACCACCGTCATATAGCTGGAAGATTGCTGAGTGGGGCGTTAAACAACAAACAAACAACGAACAAAGTTGACATTTGTGGCCTGTCCTTCAAATTCCACTTGTTTGTTTAACAATATTTCAGGTTACATTTTTCTGCATCATAGATTTACACTGTAAGTATTACCCAAGGGCCAGGTGCAGGTGCTTGTCTTCCTGTTGATAATTCCTATATCAACCTACAGCTGTACAGATTCTGTGGAGCTGACGTAACTGTGCTTGTCCACCCATCTAAGCTGCTTAACAATGGCTAGGCTATGTGTCAGGCACTGGGGATTGTGTACTTGGTCTCCTGACTTTCACGGCTACTGTGTGTTGCATTCTCTGTGACAGAGGAGTCGCCTCGTGCTGTGGTTTGTGTTGTAAACAGTGGATTATTTGGACTATCTTGTAAAGGGTTTGTTGATTTTGTGTGTTAAGGAAATTATTTTTCAATTTTCTTTTCAAGTCTTCTTGCTCTATTTACCTCACTGGTTTTGAAATGTTTATGGAGAGGCCTGTTATTTTTGCTTCAAAGAAATGCAGGATATTATTACTTGTCTGTCCTCTTCATTTTGAATATTGCTGAAAAGTGTTCTAAAAGATATGTTTGGTGCAGAAAATGTGCACAACCAGTATGCACATCTTCCCGAGGCAAGGCAGGTAACTGACTATAAAAGTCCAGTTTCCACCCTTGCCAAACTAGGATGGAATTATGGAATTACATTTTGGCCGGACTAACGAATCTATGTATAATCTAATCAAAACCGCTTTACGAAATCAACATTCAGTTCTTAAACAACATAGCGACTGCCGTGCAGATTTCAGTTGACTGTAGGATTTGCAGAGCATTTGTGCCATTGACTAGGTGTTGACATATATTTTGTCAAATATTTTTATGTGTTTAATCAATGTGCTCACGTGATTTGATGCACCTCGCGAGGTGAGACCCGTTTTATTATGATAAAGATCTTGATTATTGATCAGATCGTCTTGACTGGGCTCCACCATTTTGTTAGAAGCAAGTGATATGAGAGGTGGAACCTGATTGGTCAATAGGAGGGACATAGAAGGGACATAACTCGTAATCGCCACTGGTGGCGCTACCATCGAGCCATGAAATTCAAGCCTAGTTATGCAAGGGTTGAAACGGGACTTTTACAATCAGTTAACTACCTTGCCTCCGAAAGATATACGCAGAGAATGGACTCAGCAAACAATATACAATATATATATATATATCCCAAGACAAAACTGTTGTCAGCAGCCATACCATGTAACATATTCAAGTCTTCATTTGCATTTCATAAACATTGTCAATCATTCTTATAGCTGTGTTCCGTGATGGACCACTTATTTGAGCAGGTACAACTCACTCATCTCTTGTGCAATTTTATTTGTAAATAAATAAATTGCAAGCGTTCGTGGCATTTGATTGGCTAACCAAACAATATTTTTTTTGCGTTTATGCTTCCATAGACCTTAGACTACTGTTTCCTGATTGGCTGATAATAAAATGGGCGGGGCTTGTGTTGCATTATTGCACTGAATGACGTCACTAATTTTGTACTGTTGTCTACAGTGTTGTGTGTGTTAATCATGAAATAAGCAGTCTGTGAAGTAATTATTGTTGACTTGTTGTTCAATAGGTTTTGCGTTTACGGAGATATCAACGTAAACAAAACGGTGTGCAGACTTTGCGTATTTACACAGTTTGCACACACATATTTTTTTTATACCTCCAGAAATGCAAAACCTATTGAAGTCAATTCTTAACAAGGTGTCATTGTGTTTTCAATTTTTTTCAGGTGTAAAAAGATAGAATGCAAAGATGGACGATACACCTGGAGGGGGGGCCAAAGCGTGTCAATCATGCTGCTGTTGCCATAGGTGACAGCATCTTCTCCTTCGGGGGATACTGCACTGGGGAGGATTATGACACGACCCGGCCGATGGATGTCTACATCCTTGATACTCGTAAGCATGAAATTTGAGGTTTATTTAATACAGGGTTCGCACAGGCTTGAAAAAGCCTTAAATTTTAATGTCCTTCTTGAAAAGGCTTGATTGGTAGTGTCTTTCTTGAAAAGCCTTGAAAATCACCAAAATAGCTTGAAAAACTTTCATATTAAGTTAATTTGTACAAAATCTGCGATCTGATTGGTCCACATGATCTTTATGTAATACTGTGTAACCCGCCCCTGGAGGGAAATAGATTTCTCAGCAGGGAATAAGTCTCTTATACCCCGCTTCAGAGCAAAAAGCCGCACGCTTTTTCCGAGTCAATGGAAGTCACGTGACATAGCACAAGTTAACCTCAGCTCAATCAAACAGCTGTTTTCTATCAGTTTTAAATTTGTGTTAATTCTTTTGCAATGTCACATCAAAACATGACGGTAAGATAAATTTGTTGTAGCAGGATTACTCGGGGTACATGTTTTTTTTTGCGTCCTTCGTTAGGTTCTATATCACGAGACGGAGTCCTTGAATTTTAGTGTTCCTTATCTGTATGAACCTCGTAATAATTTTTTAAGAAAAACTGTAGTTCATGAAAATTTAATGTACCGTAGTTCTAATTTATGTCATTTACCAACACCATCTTTACCATTTTTACCTTGAATACCACAATAACTTTTGAAGAGAATGCAGAGATATTTCATTTTTTCTTTCATGTACATATGCATGTCTAGTAATATGCTGTTACCATGGCTATGTGATAGGATGGAAATTAGCACTAGCCAGCTAGTCCGGACCAGTTTTGTTTATGTTAAAGGTACTTTTAGGGCTAGTAGAATTTCAGACATTTTTTGTGGTTTTGCTATTTTTTATCATAATTTGGAATGGATGATGTTCTTGGTTGATTACTATCCCTGTATGATGGAATTAATGAATACCTCTATGACAAGTTCAGTAGTATCGTGTATGGAGTTGTTGTACACTTGTGAATGTGACATTTCATTGTGTGACAGACACTGTTAATTGTTGCCACAGTTTCACTACGCTGGCGCCTCCTGCCAGGTATTCCCATAAACCACCCTGACTATGACCTGGTTCCATATCAGCGGTACGGCCACACAGCGGTTGCCGTTAGCGACTGTGCCTACATCTGGGGCGGCAGAAACGACAAGGACGGTGCTTGTAACATCTTGTACTGTTTTGACACAGGTGAGTCAAGTCCTCCACATCCAAGGTCATGGTAAACTTTACATTACATCGAGACTGTGGCACCTAAAATGGTTGGCCTCTGAAAACATTTCCAAGCAGACAGCTCAACTGATAAGGATTTAGACCCATGGTTATTTGTTACTATTACCTTGACTGTAAATGAAAACATTTCTGAACAGCCAGCACTTGAGTCACTTGTTTGCCTGGACAAGAGTCAACTATTTTCCAGGCTGCCTTGATATAGCTGGAATATTGCTGCCTGCTTTGTTACACATTGTACCCCGATCCATGAAGATTTGGGGTAGAATAGGTCTTCAGCAATCTATGCTTGTCTCCCCTCTTGAAAATCTGGGGTAGAATAGGTCTTCAGCAACCCATGATTGTCTTCCTCCGTGAAGATCCGGGGTAGAATAGGTCTTCAGCAATCCATGCTTGTCTCCAGGGGTCCGGAAACCGTCATATGCGCCGGACATGTCCGATTGGGAATCTCAAATGTCCGTTTTAAAATATTGCTTACCGGACATTTTAAAAAGTATTGTCCGGACATTCTTAAATTTTGACCGGACATGATCAACAGTTAGGACTGAGCAGTTTCTGTCTGCAGTTGCAACACAATGAAGATTAACTACACTGACAAGCTTTGTTTGTTTTGATTGCTGAAAATACATCGTACCTACATGATAGTCCAATCGGTCAATCACTGTAATAGGCAATAAACTGAGTAGACACTGATTAATCGAGGATTAATTACTGAGAACATCTTGTTAATTTGAGTGAAAGGTGTTTACAACTGTACATTAATACCTTGCATCATCGATGTACCTCATTATCCTCACAATGCTACGATACGTAACCTCAGACAAGAAGCGAAAGCGTGACAACAGCCAGTCGACCGATGCAGATCAGTCGAGCGGATCTGCCAAACCCTCAAAGTCTGGACGATCATTTTGTAAGTCGTGGCTAACGACTTTCACTTGGTTGACATACAATGAGGATTTGCAGATTTTATTGTTTTCAGTAGCTAGTCGTATATTGAATCTTGATTGACCGCCATTTTGCTTTCTCGGACGATCGATATCCAATTTTTTTATGGTCAATAATTAAGTACAGATGAAAAAAGTATTCAAATAACTATTGCTATCAACGATATTTTAGTATTTGTGATTAAATTATCTGTCTTGTTTTTAAGAAAATCTTTAGTTTAAAAAAACCTTTTCCCGTGAGGTCACGTGATAACCAAATATGGGATAATAGTCTCGATCCAAATGTTACAACGCGTACACTTGAGCAGACTCATGAATATGACTCATGAATATTAATTAGACCGTTATTATAACAGAAACAAACGTATGTTTTCCATGTAAATCTAAAATGAGATTATTTGTTATTAATTGTCCGGTGAATTAAACAATTTAAATTGAAACAATTCATAATTCATCATATTATGAATACTTAAACTTGTAATGTGTGTGAAAAGTCGTACTAAAATACGCTATTTGAAGGGGGCGTGGCCTAAATGCAAATGTCCGATTGGGATTTTAAATTTTCCGGACCCCTGCTTGTCTCCCCTCGTGAAGATCTGGGGTAAAATAGGGCTTCAGCAACCCATGCTTGTCTCCCCTCTTGAAGATCCGGGGTAGAATAGGTCTTCAGCAACCCATACTTGTCTTCCCCCGTGAAGATCGGGGTAGAATAGGTCTTCAGTAACCCATGCTTGTCTTCCCCAGTAAAGATCTGGGTTAGAGTAGGTCTTTACCAACCCATGCTTGCCGTCAAAGGTGTCTATGCTAGTCGAATAAGGCGACTAGTGGGAACGGGTGGTCAGACTCGCTGACTTGGTTGATGCGTGTCATTGTATCCCAGTTGCGTGTGTCAATACTCATGATGTCAATCACTGGATTGTCTGGTCCAGACTTGATTATTTACAGACCACCATCATGTAACTGGAATATTGCCGAGTGCTGCGTTAAACAAACAAAAAACATTGTTCCCTCTTTTGTTCTCAACAACCATGATAGTATTGATGTTTTATAGAAGGAGACTTCTGATTTGTTCCGGGGGCGGTTGGGTAGCCTAGTGGTTAAAGTGTGTGCTCGTCATGCCGACATGGGTACAATGTGTGAAGCCCATTTCTGGTGTCCCATGCCGTGATATTGCTGGAATATTGCTAAAAGTGGCGTAAAACCAAACCCACTCACTCCAATTTGTTCCCTTTACAGCTAGATCAATATCTGATTCGTTAGTAACTTAGCACAATCCAATATGTGTTGTGATGAAGGGGCCTTTGTCCACTGGGGTCGCCATGAGTGGTGCAAAGTGTGCACCTGTATTGCGAGCAGTGAGCACTGACATGCCTTACAACACTGTATTATGTTAAAGGTAAGGATGTGAGATGGTCAAGTCTGTAAATACCTCAAGGAACAAGAGTACTCTTGCGTGTGTTTCAGGAATGATGAAGTGGAACAAGCCTGCGATCAATGGGCCAATACCGGGGGCCAGGGACGGACATTCCGCCTGCGTCATCAGCAACAAGATGTACATCTTCGGGGGATACGAGGAGGAGGTACGGAGTCTTCTCATCAACACTCTACCGGAGCTCATGATAAGCTGCGTATTTGTGTAAAATATACATTAAATCAACTGAAATACGCAGATAAATCAAATCCTAGTGTATCAGATACTCAACAAAAACTATAAATACGCCATTGAAATAAAATTAATGCGTATAAAAAATTAGATTAAACGATTGTGTATATTACAACTGTTAGATAAAATGATTGTGTGCCAGCCGATCGCCAAATTCACTTACCAACAGTTACATTCGGAAAGGCTTCTGTGACAAACATACTGATACATACTGTATCTTAAGTTGTCGCTTTTTGGTATTAAAACAATAGTGCCTTTCTTACAATGCTAGGTTTTGCGAACAAAAAAATGCATTCTGGAGAGGGAGCTGCAAGCAAACGCAGATGGGTATACTACTATTCAAATAATTTTACATGATTTATAGGGAATGTTTTAAGTGAAAAAGACAAATGTCAAGAAACAGGTGGGTAAAATTTTTTTGAATACCCTCTAAAACTTGTGGATACCCAATCAAAATCAAACCCCTGGATAAAATACCCAAATAACCAAAAGCTTATCAATAGCTCTGCTCTACCATTATTAGATGTAGATCATGTACACAATTTTAGATCACATGTTCATCTACCAGTTGGCACAATTGTCTCTGTCACATGCTACTGTACAAGGTTGTGTCCCTTAAGCATGACAGGATCAAGCTCCTCACAGTGATAGCCCGTTCGCGGAGCTCTCTATACTATCGCTGCCACCAGTCAAAACTCCCCACTGTGAATAGGTGGCCACAACCATGCTTGGAGTTGGAACTCGCAACCGAATGACCGTTATGTTTATAAACAAGTGACGGCTGTCGTGACGCCGAATAGACTTATTGCTGCTAAATTACTTTCTTCGTTTGTCAAATTGAATTTCTGATTCATTAAAACTTTCGTGTTATTGATATAGTAAGAATGTAAGGGAGAAGTTGGTTGATTTTCCGTTAGTCTGCAATCTCGAACCAATCTGATTATTAAAACAACAAAGTAAATTCATCTGGAAAACATGGTCAGTCGTAAACCTTTGCAAAATGAAATATCATGCATTCCCAAAGACATAAACAAAAGTATCAACGTTACTACATTTGGGGTTAGAGGGCAAATTTCAAGATTCTTGTAATGGCCGCGCCCACACTGGTGGCAGCGATATTACCGAGAGTGTAACGAAGGTGTCACGATCTGGGAAGGAGCTTGTGACAGGATCTTGTGCTGGTGAGTTTTACCAGAGTTGTAAACAAAATAATAGGTCTTGGTTCTCAGGCACCACCTGCACCATCATAAGTCTGCTGCCCGTTTTGTTTTTATTTCCATTTTCAAAAAAAATTAAGTCTCTAAATATTCTGCGTCTCGAACTGATGTCCCCGGCAGTTAAGTGCTACAATGCTGAAGAACAACATGATTTGTAAACAAAATTTGGTTACATACTAGCTTGAACAACCAGAACAAAAATAACACCGCCCACCTGCACAATAATTTCAAAAGTCATTGCCTGGGAAGCAATTCTTTTATTTTTTTAAGCCTTCAGATATGGTATTTGTTGTTACTCTGGCTAGTGCTCAGCATTACAGGGATATGATAAAACAAGGACTGTCAGGATGGAGCCAGCATACTCAGTCTGAGTGGGCATCCATGTTAATCTATAGTATGGGATCTCCGTGGGCTGGCACTATAAAACTGCCGTTAGTCTGGACACATGTGCATGCATGTCGCTATGTAAGTGCATTAATCTTGAACATGGCGTTAAAACCCATTTCACCTCAACTAACTTCAGCTCGCTGATCGTGCTGATGGCAGAGTAACTGCAGCATGGCTCCCTCTATAACTATGAACACTGGTTAGTCCTGGGTATGGCCAACAGGTGACAGCCTCTGACTGATACGTGAAACATGAGATCAGTGTAAATGAGGAACTGACACCAACAGGATTAGTTGTGATGACTGATAAGATAACACTCCAGCACCACTCAAGTAACATGACTCTACGTAGAGATATTAAACAGGACTGCAATTTTCTCCTGATTGGGTAATGAGGACTGTTGTTATCTTTCATCCAAATTATGAATAGACTAGTTTCCTGATACTGTATATTTGGGTAAATTGATAGTGTAGATGATTGTTAAAATTGGTTGAGTATATACCCTTACTTGCCTTTGGATATGAGGAATGTGTTTGTCATGTTTATAGGTTTAATGTCAATTTCAGTATGCACAATAGCCATGATAGCCATATAATATCTCCATAGCTAAGAGTGATTTCTTTATGCATGTTGGGGGTACAAGGTAACTACAAAGACCGTGTAAGCTTTGTCAATTAATCAGGAGACAAGGGCTGGGGCGAGTCCAAATTTACTACCCAGGTACCCGGCCCCCTATTACCCGTCCCTACCCATGTACCCGGCCCCCTATTACCTGACCCTACCTGGGTACCCAGCCCCCTATTACCCGACCCTACCTGGGTACCCAGCCCCCTATTACCCGACCCTACCCTCCCCGGGTACCCACCCCCTATTACCCGACCCTACCCGGGTACCCAGCCCCCTATTACCCGACCCTACCTGGGTACCCAGCCCCCTATTACCCGACCCTACCCGGGTACCCAGCCCCCTTTTACCCGACCCTACCCTCCCCGGGTACCCACCCCCTATTACCCGACCCTACCTGTGTACCCAGCCCCCTATTACCCGACCCTACCCGGGTACCCAGCCCCCTTTTACCCGACCCTACCCGGGTTCCCACTGAAGGTCTCAAAAGTTGGAAACAAGATGTCTGATTGGGAATTGTTTTAACGCAGCCCTGGCAAAAATTATTTAGATACATTTATCAGATCTTGCGTACACTGAAGTTGACTTTGCTTTATCTTTACTCAAATATCTACGAGTCAAAGGAATGTGTGCATCGTCAGAAAGAATTGCAAACATTAGCGACTTGTAGTGTAACCATTGAGCTATAGTGAGTTTTTGTCATTAAACAATTTACCGTGTGATAAACCACGGTTCGGGTAGTCCTGTGGGTATTCGTGTCCTACTCAGGACCCACCCGATCCGAGTACCCAAGTTACCCGTCCCAGCCCTACAGGAGACTGTATATGCATTGAGTGAGTGAGTTGGGTTTAACGCCGCTTTTAACATTATTCCAGTTATATCACAGCGTGTCAGCTTAACGTGGGAGGAAAGCCCGAAGTGATGCAGGTCTCAGACGTTTACCACTTCGGTGAAACCACGGAGCACTGGTATGGTGCTGACAAACCTTGAAACATAATCGGGGCGAACCAGGATTCGAACCCACAATCATAGGTTCTGGCGTGCCCAAAGGACGCAACTCTGCACAGTGAATCGCGGCACCTTAGATGACTGGGCCACCCCTGCCCCCTTATATATGTATTGACTCCAGCAATGGAATGTTGGCAGTGTTTATTCCCAAGTATACAAAGACTTATTGAATATTGTCTTTTCTTTCAGATTGACAGATTTTCCAATGATGTCCATGCCTTTGACTTTACATCAATGCAGTGGATCTCGGTCAAAGCCAACGTGAGTAGGTCAAGGTCTGAAGGTTTAATGAAGGTTTCGGTCTTATCAAGTTAAGGAAAATTTTGAAGTTAATTGAGGTCAATTTCAACAGATATTTGTACCAAACAATATTCTTTTCAATCAAACAATATACCATTTCAATGAGTATGTTAGGATTCCGGGATGGAATTGGTCCCCAGCCACCTATACTTGTTGTGAGAGGCAACTGAATGATTAGGTGGTCATTCTCAGTGAGATTAATAGTGTGTCAATGTGGATGATGCATTGCTTATTATTTTAATCACAGGTTTGTCTGGTCCAGACTTGATTAATTGTATTTACAGACTGCTGTCACAATGGTCAAATAGCAAGAATATTGCTGTGTGTTGTTAAATAAAACACAAAGCAATCTTAGCACTACGACTGTCGTAAGTCAGTGTTAAAGAATAGGAGTTACGATCGACTTAGCGCTAAGATCACTTTGTGGAACAGGGCCCTGGTCATAAGAGGCTACTTAATAGATCAGGTGGACGGACTCAATGACTTGGGTGACCCTGACGGAGTGGATTGTTGCTTATAATATCAATCACTGGATTGTCTTGCCCAGACTCGATTCATTACAGGCCGCCGTCATATCGCTGGAATATACGGCGTTAAACAACAAATACATATACAACACAAAACATACAGAAAAATGTTTTCCCTCTTTATTTCATTTGAGTGTGAAGCAATGTTTAACACTATAATGTATCTGAGGGGTGAGTACACTGATTGTTATTGCTTGCAGGGTACCCCAGCCCGCTGGCGTGACTTCCACACTGCCACAGCGGTAGGCAGCACCATGTTTGTGTTCGGTGGTCGCAGCGATGATGGTGGTGATGTCTTCACGAACAATGAGATTTATTGCAATAAGATCCAGACGTTTGACACCTCCAGCAACACGTGGTACGAGCCTGTTGTATCAGGGACCATACCTCCAGGCCGGAGAAGTCACTCTGCATGTAGGTTGATGCTGTGTGTTGTATCTCTGGGGGGCATGGGGGGCCCAGTTGTGTGAGGTATTTGCAGAGTTGTGTCCCTTAGGCTGGCAAGGAACCTGAAATTGTGGTTAGAATCACATATTTTCCCTGACTGTTTTCCAGGTTTGTCAGTACCATACCTGTGATAATGGGCTTTACCAAAGTGGTTGACTTCTGGCTTTCCTCACGCACCAAGCTGATATGCTGAAATACTGTGCAAAGTGACATTCAACCAAACTCACTAGCTCATTCAATCTTTCTGCTCACCTTGCCCGTGTAGATCTGGGTCTACAGCAACCCATGCTTGCTGTAAGAGACGACTGTGCTCGTCTTAAGAGGCAACTAACGGGATCGGGTAGTCCCGCTCGCTGACTTGGTTGATGCATGTCATCGATCCCAATTGTGTGGATCGATGCTCCCAATAGCGTGGATCGATGCTAACGATATATCACTGGATTGTCTGGTCCAGACTCAATTACTTACAGACCATGACTTACTGTCATATAGCTGGAATATTGCTGAGTATGCAACATTAAACAAGAAACAAACAAAGAAACAAACACTACTGCACTTGTTCCATGTGTTTCCTCTAGAATCTGGAGCTGAGTATGTCCATAATGCCCACTGCTTGCCTTGAGCTACATTAGGTTTGCATGGTAACAATACGTGTGAGCTTAATCATAGTGTGTCATCAATTCTTACTTCAGAAATGCTCAATGACGTTAATGGTCCACGTAGTACTGTGGGTACCCGGGTCCTACTCAGGACCCACCCAACCCTAGTACCAGAGTTACCCGTCCTAATGGAGATATACTGATAACTTTTAAGAACAATTTTTGAGTGATCATTTTGTCCTGTTTTTTATGTAATCCTGTTAATTTATTACAGTTTACTATGAAGGTCACTTGTATATATTTGGTGGCTACAACGGCATTCATGAGAATCACTACAGTGACATGCACAGACTAGAACCAGGTAATGTTTAACACAATCGCGGTTTTAGTATCATCGGATCATAGGTTTTCGGACGTCATACTTTTCAGACGGCCACGTTTATCGCGATTACTCGTACTATAACGGAGAGTGTACCATCACAAAGACATTGTAAATACTCAGATGATGGCCTGTTTTTTAAGAGAAAGTTGTCTTTTATAAGTAAAAGAGTTGTTGTACAGTTGTCCATGTGATTAGAGAGAAACTTACGAATGTTACGAGTGTCCGAAAACCCATAACATTCGGATACATTGCATTTGTTGGAAACATCACATTCGTTGACACCATATCATTTGCAAATACCTATGGTGATTGTTATATATCAAAAACATAGTAATTTTAACATAGTAAATATACATAAAAGTATTACATTTTACCATGTTCTCCCAAGCTGTATATGTTAATTAAATTAAAATTATTACCTCAGCATATGAGATTGGTCATTTACTTAGATTTTTCTCAGCAGACTAAGATATAAGAACATGACAAATGTGCAGTGTAACCATTTTGTCATTTGTTTGTGAACAGGTAAAATGAAGTGGTCAAAGGTGAAGGTGAAAGGTCAGGGGCCGTGTCCAAGGCGACGCCAGTGCTGTTGTAGGATAGAGTCGTGTATATACCTGTTTGGAGGAACCAGGTATGTGTTGGTGTACATGATGTAACTGCTGGCCATTGTACTCCGGTAGATGAAGTCACTGTATTAAGCAGGGTAACTGTTCTTCCTTTACACTTTATTTCTGAATCTCTCTGTATGTACATAGATGCATGATGCCATGTACCAACAGTATGTGCTTGCTTCCTCCACAGTCCCAAGAACCCCCAGATGACGGCCACACACATCCCGCTGGCAGAGACTGATCTGACCGATCACTCAGACCTCTACGTGCTTGACTTCTGTAAGTACCTAGTTGTGAGAACCTAGTTGTCTGTGAACCACCTCCCACTGACATCTGTTGTTCAGCTTACAGCTACAGTACCTAGTTGTGAGAACCTAGTTGTCTGTGAACCACCTCCCACTGACATCTGACTGGACTCCATGATGTAGTTGTTCGGCTTACAGCTGCAGTACCTAGTTGTGAGAACCTAGTTGTCTGTGAACCACCTCCCACTGACATCTGACTGGACTCCATGATGTAGTTGTTCAGCTTACGGCTGGAGGAATAAGTGGTCCAATTGCTTAGGTCACCAGTGTATGCTGTGCTGTGCTGTGCTGTGCTGTGCTGTGCTGTGCTGAGCTGAGTTGTGGCCCTTTGCCATGCTAGGATAAGATAGCCATGGAGTTGTGTCCAGTGTTTGAAATTAAAAAAATACCAGGCTGCCATGAGGACCCACAGACTTTAGAAGCCGCAGGCCCTGAAAAAACTCTTCAGGCCCTGAAAAAACTCTTCAGGCCCTCACTAAAAGAATTGCAGCCTATTGTGACAAATAAATCTTCTGCAGTCCATAAGGACTAGGGATGGGTTTTGGAGGTTTAAAGTGTATCACAATGTTTTGCTATGCACAAGACAGTATTTTGTGATACTATCACAATATATATTGTATACTTCCCAATTTTGAATTCAGCAGCAATCTGATACATTAAGGTATGAATTGAAGTTCATAAATGGAACAAAACAAGATGCTGGTACAACATGATGTTTACTCAATCAATAAATATGCAGCCATCTTGTTGCCCCGAACACATGCTGTGGGGCATCAAAGGCATTTAGCAAGTATATGACATTTTAAACACATGATAAAAATCGCTATTTGAAATCACCAAGTATATCTAGCATGAAAAAATGATATTGTGATACGTATCGTGGAAAGAATGGACCTCAATTTACCGATATACTGATAATATCACACACCTTTAATAAGGACCTAAACAAATTTGAAACTACGGGGCCCCACTAGAACTCTACCTGCCACAGGCCTATGGCCCTGAGGGCCTACGGGCAGGTGCTTATTTTTATTGATGAGTTGAGGAATATGGTTTATCTCCAAGTTTCCTTGTGGAATGACTTCTGTATGACTGTCAGACTTTCCATTGATGAGTTGAGGAATATTGTTTATCTCCAAGTTTCCTTGTGGAATGACTTCTGTATGACTGTATGACTTTCCATTGATGAGTTGAGGAATATTGTTTATCTCCAAGTTTCCTTGTGGAATGACTTCTGTATGACTGTATGACTTTCCATTGATGAGTTGAGGAATATTGTTTATCTCCAAGTTTCCTTGTGGAATGACTTCTGTATGACTGTATGACTTTCCATTGATGAGTTGAGGAATATTGTTTATCTCCAAGTTTCCTTGTGGAATGACTTCTGTATGACTGTATGACTTTCCATTGATGAGTTGAGGAATATTGTTTATCTCCAAGTTTCCTTGTGGTATGACTTCTGTATGACTGTCAGACTTTCCATTGATAAGTTGAGGAATATTGTTTATCTCCAAGTTTCCTTGTGGAATGACTTCTGTATGACTGTCAGACTTTCCATTGATAAGTTGAGGAATATTGTTTATCTCCAAGTTTCCTTGTGGAATGACTTCTGTATGACTGTATGACTTTCCATTGATGAGTTGAGGAATATTGTTTATCTCCAAGTTTCCTTGTGGAATGACTGTATGACTGTATGACTTTCCATTGATGAGTTGATGAGTTGATGTGAGTTGAGGAATATTGTTTATCTCCAAGTGTTCTTGTGGAATGACTTCTGTATGACTTTCAATTCTTTATTTCAGCTCCGTCCCTGAAGGTGCTGTGTGAACTAGCTGTGTTAGAATATAAGCAAGATACGTCCTTCTTGCCTATGAATATAAGGTGAGTTAAGAATGTTATTCCACAGTTAAAAGTTGGTTTTATCCTTATATGGCTGAAATTCAACATTAATTAATTCATTTATGTGGTTGGATCAAAACAAGATCCTGACATGGCGACTCATCCTCCCAAGGGAAGGGAGTTTAGGGTAGTCCAACAAGGGAGATAGCTCTGATCACTTGTTTGATAAAGTTGTTAGTGTCTACACCGAAACATCGCATTCATTGTAATAAGTTGTATATCCATAGAACTATCTCCCACGAGTCCGGGTAGTCCTGAGTAGAATAGGTCTTCACCAACCCATGCTTGCAGTGGAAAGCCACTATGCTTGTTGTAAGAGGCGACTAATTGGATCGGGTGGTCAGGCTCGCTGACTTGGTTAATGCATATCATCGCATCCAGATTGCGTGGATCGATGCTCAAGATGTCAATCACTGGATTGTCTGGTTCAGGCTCGATTCTTACAGACTGCCGTCATATAGCTGGAATATTGCTGAGTGCAGCATTAAACAACAAACAATACAATACAATGACTTTAAAATTGTGCTTTTATGTATGTCAGATGGGAACTTGCTGCCATGACAACCAACAACAACATCAGTCGGTCCAGTAACACAACCGGGTGATGTTACTTGACCATCTGATGGTTCAATTCAGATGACCAGCCAGATCATCGACATTGCAAGACACGATATGATGGATGGCATCGCATCCTGTCAAATAGATAAAGCTGATAACAATGTGAAAACGTTGAAGCAGCCAACATGGACTCTTACCTGAGCTGATATCTGGAAGTGGATCAGTGTCCTTATCAAGGTGTTGCTATGGTTACCTTGCTGGGACACTGAGAATGTTCTCTTCACAGAAGACAGTCGATCAGTATTCCTATTTTCATTCTCAGTTTTGTTAGAATGCATACCATCGTATGCAAGTCAGTGCTGTTAAAACTACACCAAATAATGATGAACAAAACATACACAGATAGCCATATCAGTCATATCACATAGCATTGAATGTTTTACCCAGATATCTTCAGCAACCCATGCTTGCCGTAAAAGGCGACTAAGCTTGTCGTAAGAGTAAACTAACAGGTGGTCAGACTTGGTTGATGCATGTCACTGTATCCCAATTGAGTGGATCCATGCTCATGATGTCAGTCACTGGATTGTTTGGTCCAGACTTGATTATTTACAGACCACCATCATACAGCTGGAATATTGCTGAGTGCGGCATTAGAATGTTTCCTCCAAGGCTTTTGTAGGAGATGGACTTTGGAACTTGTAATATATTACACAGATGTATCATTTTGTTATTGGTTCATGAATCAGGTTATTTTGGCAATAACACACTGGTGGTAACATTACCCAAGACTTATAACATCTCCAGGTTGATTATGCGTCATTGTTTTAAACAAACCTGTATGTGTATGAAACCAAAGTATGAAATGTTTATCTGGTAATTAACTGTGATGACCCCCTTGTGAGACATATATGGCACCATGCACATACCGTGTGTGTGTGTGAATGTTTCGTCTGTGCATGGATGTGTGTGCACGTTATTGACTTGATGTGATGACTCTTGCTTATATTTGTTTTGTGCAGGCACAAATTAGATATTTATAACTATTTTCAGTAATCACAGTTGTAGAATGATCATATTTCCTGAGTTTATAAAGAAATGGCAGGGTCATTGTTCTTGGGTCTTGAAACCTATGCAATTATTGTGTTAATTTTTTTTTTATCAGCTTATTTATTTCAGGATAGAAATATTTAATGTTTGTTTTCCTGAGTGACATGCTTAATGCTGTTTTTCATCAGTTTTTCATTAATTTATGACAATTCCTGATGAAAGAAAAGATTTCCTCACTATGGAATCAAACAGTGCCCTTGATATGTGTAAATAACTTCAAAATAAATTTATTTTGTTTCGTGTAAATATGAGTATATGCTCTTTTAACTGCTTGTGTCTGTTGCAAAGTCTGACTTATGAATGATCAACTTCTCAATGATAATAATCTTAGCTGTATGTGGGGCAGTAAGGTAGCCTACTGGTTAAAGCGGTCACCTATCACGCCAAAAGCCCCGGTTTGATTCCCAGCTTTTGTACAGTGTATGAAGCCACATATTTCTAATAGCAGTGTAAAACCAACTCACTCATTTACTTCACTGGATTTACATTCAGAGCAGCCTGACATTTCGGAAAAGTTGCCAGTTTTATTAGTTGGGCCAGCTTGTGAGTAGGATTGTTCAAGATGATGTTTACATTAAAACAAATGATCAATCCTCTTTAGTAGACACAGCACCCACCTATACATATTGAAGTCTCACCTGAAGCTGTAGGTACTAACCTCTTAACAATGAGCGGTCATCGTTTAGACAAATTGTATGTTAAAGGTATTTATGATTTAAATGAGCATTATGTTGAATATTGCAAGGGGTTTTGCTTAGTTGGTCTATTTTCATGGCCCTCAGTAATAATCTTATTTCTTCTAGGCTGGTGACAGATTTTGGATGCTCAAAACCATTAATCATGTTAAAGATTGTAATGTCAGATGGAAGAAAATCAACCATTGACAATTTAAGTGTATGGTAATTCTTACCAGAATAGAATGGGACTCTGTGGCAAGCACGCTGTAGTTTTGATCAGTTTTAATGAGTCAAACAGCAATCCCTTTTTATGTCTTCCGGGACTTACAGTGTAAATCATATCAGTCCCAGTTGAAATTTGTATTCCAGTTGGAGGCAGTAGTTTGCATCGGGTGAAACCTTGGTGTCTTGATATAATACATATAGTCAGTCCTACTTTCTCTTACTGAACATTGCTGCTTTATATAGTCATAGACTCTGTTATGGTTAGTTTGATAATATTAGTGCTTATCATGCTTTTGAAACTTGTCTCCAGCCATGCCTGTCTCTCACACCCGTCCTGACAATAGCTTACACCTGTTACCATGTTTCAGTAGACAAGGCAACACTTTGTTAATGATTTGATTGATTGACTGACCACAGCCCTAATCCACCAACCAGTGAATGCAATCAATAAGTACTAATTTGACCACAGCCCTAATCCACCAACCAGTGAATGCAATCAATAAGTACTAATTTGACCACAGCCCTAATCCACCAACCTAGTGAATGCAATCAATAAGTACTAATTTGAATCTTGTCACCAAGTGTTTGACTGGCATTTAGAAGTGATACACGTAAAAGAGAGAATTTACCATCCATACTTTCTCTCTCTTCATGTCACTGTTTCGAATAAGCATCAGTTATACATCTGAGGGAAGTTAAGAACAAATGAACATTGTTCAGTCAATGCATGTCATCCCCTACAGCGTCCAGGTGATGGTTGCAGGGCATGGTTGGAGGGCATCCTTGTGATGGTGACCATTGCTGGACACGCACTTCTCCTGTGTCTCCACAGCTACGTTCAAGTCATAAGCATTAGGGCTGGGACGGGTAACTCGGGTACCTCGGTTGGGTGGGTACTGAGTAGGACCCGGGTACCCACAGGACTACCCGGATCCGTGGTTAGTCACATGATATATTGTTTAATGACAAAAATTATCTGGAACTCTATGGTAACACTACAAGTCACTAATGTTCGCATTTCATTCTGACTGTGCACCCATTCCTTCCGATTTTTCATATGGTTGAATAAAGATATACCTTAATTCAACTTCAGTGTTTGAATGACCGGATTGTTCGAAAAACGTTTTGCCAGGGCTAAGCTAAAGATGTTCCCAATTGGACATTTTGAGACATCTCCTGAGACCTACAGTGGGTACCTGGGTAGGGTCGGGTAATAGGGAGGTGGGTACCCGGTTAGTAAATTTGGACTCGTCCCAGCCCTAATAAGCATGATACTTGTGTCTGTCTGAAAGACGAGTCTAGACAAACAAGAGTAATTTTACAAATCAACTCTTGTGTACATTTAAATGTTGATCTGGATGCTCCAGTGAGAAAATGAGTGCCTATGTTATCATATTTTTGAATGAGCCCTGTATATGAATCGTGAAGATTTTAAATTGTAAATTCACTTGACACAACAGCAGTTAACAGAGTAGCAGCTGACAATTATATGATTTTAAATGGTTGCATATATCGCCAATCGTTTTATCCAAAGTTTGTTATTAGAAGATGAATGTGCATTTCCCCTGAAGTAAGATCAGCGCCTGATCGAAGTGAGTGAGAGAGAGAACGAGAAAAGGAGCTGTTTTTTCAGAGAATTGTTTTTACTTGAAATGTCATAATTCATCTTGTAAGGAGGAAGGATTATGACTGAAATTGTTATGAATTGTTTTGTGATCCTTACTTACAAGATTAGTATCACAGTAAAATTATTTCAATAAGACAGTTATCTTTTCTTTTTCATAAATACATGTATCAAGATTTTGTATCAAGCCCTTTCTCATGGCAAGCCACATTGAGAGGTTTGTGGATTTTCCTACAACACAGCTCTTTGCAAGACTTGATGCTTACACCATGAACCGTCAACAGCATTACTTCCGACTTACAGGGGGATATAGCTGTCATGTTGCTCACACTATCAACAGCATTACTTCCCACTGACGTGGATATAGCTGTCATGTTGCTCACACTATCAACAGCATTACTTCCCACTGACAGGGATACAGCTGCCATGTTGCTCACACTATCAACAGCATTACTTCCCACTGACGGGGATATAGCTGCTATGTTGCTCACACTATCAACAGCATTACTTCCCACTGACGGGGATATAGCTGCCATGTTGCTCACACTATCAACCATCAACAGCATTACTTCCGGGTGACGGGGATATAGCTATCATGTTGCTCACGCTATCAACAGCATTACTTCCGGCTGACAGGGGGATATAGTTGTCATGTTGCTCACACTATCAACAGCATTACTTCCGTCTGACAGGGGGATATAGCTGCCATGCTGCTCACACTATCAACAGCATTACTTCCGGGTGACAGGGGGATATAGTTGTCATGTTGCTCACACTATCAACAGCATTACTTCCGTCTGACAGGGGGATATAGTTGTCATGTTGCTCACACTTTCAACAGCATGACTTCCGGCTGACAGGGGGATATAGCTGCCATGCTGCTCACACTACCAACAGCATTACTTCAGGCTGACAGGGGGATATAGTTGTCATGTTGCTCACACTATCAACAGCATTACTTCAGGCTGACAGGGGGATATAGCTGTCATGTTGCTCACACTATCAACAGCATTACTTCCGGCTGGCAGGGGGATATAGCTGTCATGTTGCTCACACTTTCAACAGCATTACTTCCGGCTGACAGGGGGATATAGCTGTCATGTTGCTCACACTTTCAACAGCATTACTTCTGAATGACGGGGATATAGCTGCCATGTTGCTCACACTATCATCAGCATTACTTCAGGCTGACAGGGGGATATAGCTGCCATGTTGCTCACACTATCAACAGCATTACTTCCGGCTGACAGGGGGATATAGCTGTCATGTTGCTCACACTATCAACAGCATTACTTCCGGCTGGCAGGGGGATATAGCTGTCATGTTGCTCACACTTTCAACAGCATTACTTCAGGCTGACAGGGGGATATAGCTGTCATGTTGCTCACACTTTCAACAGCATTACTTCTGAATGACGGGGGGCGGTCGGGTAGCCTAGTGGTTAAAGCGTTCGCTCGTCACGCCGAAGACCCGGGTTCGATTCCCGACATGGGTACAATGTGTGAAGCTCATTTCTGGTGTCCCCCGCCGTGATATTGCTGGAATATTGCTAAAAGCGGCGTAAAACCATACTCACTCACTCACTCTGAATGACGGGGATATAGCTGCCATGTTGCTCACACTATCATCAGCATTACTTCAGGCTGACAGGGGGATATAGCTGCCATGTTGCTCACACTATCAACAGCATTACTTCCGGCTGACAGGGGGATATAGCTGTCATGTTGCTCACACTATCAACAGCATTACTTCCGGCTGGCAGGGGGATATAGCTGCTATGTTGCTCACACTTTCAACAGCATTACTTCAGGCTGACAGGGGGATACAGCTGTCATGTTGCTCACACTTTCAACAGCATTACTCTCGAATGACAGGGGGATATAGCTGCCATGTTGCTCACACTATCAACAGCATTACTCTCGAATGACAGGGGGATATAGCTGCCATGTTGCTCACACTATCAACAGCATTACTTCCAGGTGACGGGGATATAGCTATCATGTTGCTCACGCTATCAACAGCATTACTTCCGGGTGACAGGGGGATATAGTTGTCATGTTGCTCACACTATCAACAGCATTACTTCCGTCTGACAGGGGGATATAGTTGTCATGTTGCTCACACTATCAACAGCATTACTTCTGGCTGACAGGGGGATATAGCTGTCATGTTGCTCACACTTTCAACAGCATTACTTCAGGCTGACAGGGGAATATAGCTGCCATGTTGCTCACACTTTCAACAGCATTACTTCCGGCTGGCAGGGGGATATAGCTGCTATGTTGCTCACACTATCAACAGTATTACTTCTGGCTGACAGGGGGATATAGCTGTCATGTTGCTCACACTATCAACAGCATTACTTCCGTCTGACAGGGGGATATAGCTGTCATGTTGCTTACACTATCAACACCATTACTTCCGGCTGACAGGGGGATATAGCTGCCATGTTGCTCACACTTTCAACAGCATTACTTCAGGCTGACAGGGGAATATAGCTGTCATGTTGCTCACGCTTTCAACAGCATTACTTCCGGCTGGCAGGGGGATATAGCTGCTATGTTGCTCACACTATCAACAGCATTACTTCAGGCTGACAGGGGGATATAGCTGTCATGTTGCTCACACTATCAACAGCATTACTTCCGGCTGACAGGGGGATATATCTGCCATGTTGCTCACACTATCAACAGCATTACTTCAGGCTGACAGGGGGATATAGCTGCTATGTTGCTCACACTATCAACAGCATTACTTCAGGCTGACAGGGGGATATAGCTGCTATGTTGCTCACACTATCAACAGCATTACTTCCGGCTGGCAGGGGGATATAGCTGCTATGTTGCTCACACTATCAACAGCATTACTTCCGGCTGGCAGGGGGATATAGCTGCTATGTTGCTCACACTATCAACAGCATTACTTCAGGCTGACAGGGGGATATAGCTGTCATGTTGCTCACACTTTCAACAGCATTACTTCCGGCTGGCAGGGGGATATAGCTGCTATGTTGCTCACACTTTCAACAGCATTACTTCCGGCTGGCAGGGGGATATAGCTGCTATGTTGCTCACACTATCAACAGCATTACTTCCGGCTGGCAGGGGGATATAGCTGCTATGTTGCTCACACTATCAACAGTATTACTTCTGGCTGACAGGGGGATATAGCTGTCATGTTGCTCACACTATCAACAGCATTACTTCCGTCTGACAGGGGGATATAGCTGTCATGTTGCTTACACTATCAACACCATTACTTCCGGCTGACAGGGGGATATAGCTGCCATGTTGCTCACACTTTCAACAGCATTACTTCAGGCTGACAGGGGAATATAGCTGCCATGTTGCTCACACTTTCAACAGCATTACTTCCGGCTGGCAGGGGGATATAGCTGCTATGTTGCTCACACTATCAACAGTATTACTTCTGGCTGACAGGGGGATATAGCTGTCATGTTGCTCACACTATCAACAGCATTACTTCCGTCTGACAGGGGGATATAGCTGTCATGTTGCTTACACTATCAACACCATTACTTCCGGCTGACAGGGGGATATAGCTGCCATGTTGCTCACACTTTCAACAGCATTACTTCAGGCTGACAGGGGAATATAGCTGTCATGTTGCTCACACTTTCAACAGCATTACTTCCGGCTGGCAGGGGGATATAGCTGCTATGTTGCTCACACTATCAACAGTATTACTTCTGGCTGACAGGGGGATATAGCTGTCATGTTGCTCACACTATCAACAGCATTACTTCCGTCTGACAGGGGGATATAGCTGTCATGTTGCTTACACTATCAACACCATTAATTCCGGCTGACAGGGGGATATAGCTGCCATGTTGCTCACACTTTCAACAGCATTACTTCAGGCTGACAGGGGGATATAGCTGCTATGTTGCTCACACTATCAACAG